TTATCATACTCTGAAAGTGTTCTGAATTATGTATTTGGTCATATTTTCAAAAATAAACATTGATTTGAAATTATAAATATTTTTAGTTTTTAAAAAAAATCCCGGACTCAAAGGGTTAAACTTCACGACACAGCACAATTAAAAAGACTCAATAAAATTCATTTAGTGTAACGACTATACTATCTAAATGATAGAGTAAAAAAATCTTCTAGACTGTATTACTGCTGTACACATGAATGCGAGAGACAGTCCAGATCACTGAGATTAAGATATCTTAATTTAATAGAACCTGATATTTTGATTATTTCTATATAGATGTGACTGATGATGATATATATGATGATGACACGATTGACAGTGAAAACAACGAAGAAGAACATTTTCAAATACAATCAACGGAAAATGACAAAAAATACATACTAGTGAACACAAGAGTTGACTATCAATATCGCTCCGACGTTCTCAATAATATGTGTTTATACGACTTTGTCAGCATATTATATAAGAAAAAAATGAATGCAGCAGATCTGAAATATTTATCGAAGTCTGCAGTATCAGTGGAAGAAGCCAGTAACCAAAAAGGTCGACCAGCAAATGTACGTTACTCTTTTCAAAAGCAACATCCACAAGCAGCAACGCATCTTTTAATGAAATACAGTGAAAGTCATGTACCTGTACTTTATGGTCCACAAATTCCTCGACGTGATCGTGAAGATACTCGAGAACGATATAGTCGAGCTCTTCTCTCACTTTTCGTACCTTGGCGCACTATTACCGATCTTTGCGACATTAATCAAACGTGGGAAGAAGCTTTTAAACTTCGACAAAGTCGTATTTCTACCCATTCATGGAAGATTATAGAAAATATTCAACTTTTACATGAATGTAAAAAAGATCGAGATGAACATTTACTTAAAGTTATTGCTGAAGCTCAGACTGATAATGATCCAATCGATCCTGTTCTCTTGCCTGCAAATCAACATGCTGATGGCGAATATGATATGGATGATAGCGAGGATTTCATGGAATTACTTGGCAATTTAGATGAATACACAGCGGCAGCGATTAATGCTACCAAAAAGTCTACAGAATATCAGTATATTGAAGAAACTATTAAAGCGGTCGAAAATGTTGGCCGATTTAGTCATATAAATAGTAAGTATTCCTTTTTGACGATTAGTAGGATAAAAAAATATGTAAAATTTTGTCGTAGCTTATCCTTATTCATCTTCAAATCAATCTCTTGATTATCTAAATCAACAACTTGTACCATTTATTTCTGCAACACCAAATCTTATTCGATTAAACACAAAATGGCAAGAACAACTGAAGACTGAAAAAGAACGAGTCAGACAGAGTTTAATCACAGGCAACTACGCCAATACAGACGATACATTAGATTTACATGCTGCAAAGAATGCCGTTGTGACAGTAGTGAATCTGAATAATTATAATAATAACAATGTTGAAAATTATGCCTCGATTCTTCCAGTGGTTTCTGTCACCACTAATTTTCCAACTCAAAAAAGTATTGCTGATGAATATACATTGAATAGAGAACAACAAGCTGCATTCATGATAATAACAAGTCATCTTGATGATGATAGTCGATGTCGTACAGGTAATTTTATAACATAATTTATCAGAAAGCGACCTGTTTATGTTATCTTTAGGTGACAATAATGGACAACTTATAATGTGTATACCTGGTTGTGGTGGCACAGGCAAATCACAACTTATTCGTGCTCTCAGCAAATACTTTCTTGCTACGAAGAGAATGCAAGTGATGCGAAAACTTGCACCCACTGGTATTGCTGCTGCCGAAATAGGTGGTATGACTATTCATTCATTTTTGGGTGAACAGCGTAATTCTGGCAAACCACGAACCATCAAACCAGGTGATTCAAAACTTGAAAGAGAATGGAGACTCGTCAAATATTTATTAATCGATGAAATGAGTATGGTTGGCTTAACTTTACTAGCAAAACTTAATCGAATTATTTGTGCTGCAAAACATGCCGATCCTCAAGTTCCATTCGGTGGCGTGAACGTTATCTTCTTTGGAGACTATTTACAATATAGACCTGTATATGATGCACCACTACACACCGATTTTTCAATGCCATCGAAAAAAAACTCAGGTAAATTACTAAATGAAAAAGAAATTCAACAACGTGTTGCACGCTCTTTAATTCTTCAAATTAACTGTGTCGTAAAACTTTCCCAACAAATGCGAACAGAAGATCCACAATATCTTCAATTACTCGAAAGACTTCGTAATGGACAATGTAATCGTGACGATTATGAATTATTATTAACACGAGTTGTTGGACAACCATCAGTAGGCTCTCTACGTGCTTCACCATGGAATAAAGTAGGCAGTCCTTTTCATTTCCACTAATTTGCTACTTTTGTCTTTTCAGGCTCCGATTCTTGTGTTCCGAAACGAAGTGCGAACACAATTGAATAATAAGGCAGTAATTCACAAAGCAATAGAAATGGGACAAAGACCCATGGTATGTGTCGCTCAAAATACCATCAAAGGCAAACCAATTGAAGACCCAACACTCATTAAAAAATTGTTAGAATTATCTGATAGTAAAATGGAGCATTTGCCAGGTCTTTTACCTCTTGTTCCTGGAATGCCTGTTATTTTAACACAAAATATTGCTATTGAACTGGGTCTTATTAATGGAATGAATGGAATCTTTCGACAACTTGTTTACGAAGAAGAGTCTGTATCAACAGAAGTTCTTTCCGACACATTTCCAAATAACACACAATACATCCATCNTGATGAACATTTACTTCAAGTTATTGCTGAAGCTCAAACTGATAATGATACAATCGATCCTGTTCTTTTGCCTGCAAATCGATATATTGATGGCGAAGGTGATATGGACGATAGTGAAAATTTATTAGAATTACTAGACAATTTAGATGAATATACAGCTGCAGCAATTAATGCTATCAAAAAATCAACAGAAGAGAAATATATCGAAGAAACAATTAAAACAGTCGAAAATGTTGGCCGATTCAGTCATCTAAATAGTAAGTATCACTGTAAGATGATTAGTAAGTAAAAATTGAAAATAAATATGTAAAAGTTTTTGTAGCTCATCATCAACCTTCTTCAAATGAATTTTTCGATTATCCAAATCAAAAAGCTGTACCGTTCGTTTCTGCAACACCAAATCTTATTCGACTAAACACAAAATGATAAGAACAACTAAAGACTGAGAAAGAACGAGTTAGACGAAGTTTAATTACAGGCAACTATGACAAAGCAGATAATACATTAGATTTACATGCTGCAAAAGATGCCGTTGTAACAGTGGTGAATCCAAATAATTATAAAAATAACAATTTTGAAAATTATGGCTGGATTCTTCCAGTAGTCTCAGTCACAACAAACTTTCCCACTCCAAAAACTATCGCTGATGAATTTACATTAAATAGAGAACAACGAGCTGCATTCATGATCATTACAAGCCATCTTGATGGTGACAGTAGATGTCGTACAGGTATTTTTACAATATAGTCTATTACGAATTGATATGTACTGTATTTTTAGGTGATAATAACGGTCAACTTATAATGTGCATACCTGGATGAGGCGGCACGGGTAAATTACAACTTATTCGTGCTCTTAGTAAATATTTTCTTATTACAAAAAGAATACAAATGATGCGAAAACTTGCACCTATTGGAATTGCTGCTGCTGAAATCGGTGGTATGACAATTCATTCATTTTTGGGTGAACAACGCAATTCTGGAAAACCACAAACCATCAAACCAGGTGATTCAAAACTTGAAAAAAAATGGAGACTCGTCGAATACCTACTGATCGATGAAATGAGTATGGTTGGTTTAAACTTATTAGCAAAACTTAATCGAATCATTTGCTCTGCAAAACATGCCGATCTACAAGTTCTATTCGGTGGTGTAAATGTTATTTTCTTCGGTGACTATTTACAATATTGACCTGTATATGATTTACCATTACACACTGATTTCTCATTACCGTTGAAAAAGAAATCCGGTAAATTGCCAAATGAAAAAGAAATTCAACAACGTGCTGCACGTTCTTTAATTCTTCAAATCAGTTGCGTCGTAAAACTTACTCAACAAATGCGAACAGAAGATCCACGATATCTTCAACTTCTCGAACGACTTCGTCATGGACAATGTACTTATGACGATTATGAATTATTATTAACACGAGTTGTTGGACAACCATCAGTAGGATCCTTTACGCGATTCGCCTTGGAATAAAGTAAGTCTTTGTTTTTGTTTCTAATAATTTTCTATCTTTGTCTTTTCAGGCTCCGATTCTTGTGTTCAGAAATGAAGTACGAACATATTTGAACAATAAAGCAGTAATTTATAAAGCGACGCAAATAGGACAAGAACCCATGGTATGTGTCGCTCAAGACACTTGCAAAGGAAAACCAATTGATGATCCAACACATTAAAAATTATTAGAATTATCCGATAGTAGAACGGAACATTTACCAGGTCTTTTACCTTTTGTTCCTGGAATACCCGTTATTTTAACACAAAATATTTCTATTGAATTTGGTCTTATTAACGAAATGAATGGAATCTTTCGACAGCTTGTCTATGAGGAAGATTCTGTGCCAACAAATGGTTTTTCCGAAACATTTCCCAACAATAAAAGATATGTTCATAAACCTTTATATGCTTTGATTGAAATTATCAAATTGAAAATCGAATGCAACCTCGAACAACTTCAACCAAACATCATTCCAATACCTGTAATGGAAGGGTTTGGTGGAAAACGCCGAAAAGGAAAACATCGAAAAGGCAAAATGTCGAAAAGGAAAATATAGAAGATGAAAATATCGAAAGGAAAAATGTCGAAAGAAAAGATGTTGTAAAACATTTATTTGGATCGTCTCATGTGTTATTGATTCTTGTCAAGTCAGTTCCTTTTCTTGAACTGTAGCATCTATCGTCATTTTTTGGGAAACAAACTCAACAATTCAATATAATTGCAATGATAGATGCTATATTCACATTCTCATCTTCACATTTTGATGCTCATGAGCACAGGTGCGGCATCCAGCATTACAGTCACAATGAGTTATTAAATATTCTTTCCGAAAAATGACGATAGATGCTACAGTTCAAGAAAATGAACTGATTTGACAAGAATCAATAACACATGAGACGATCCAAATAAAAGTTTTACCAGATCTTTTCTTTCGACATTTTTCCTTTCGATATTTTCACCTTCTATATTTTCCTTTTAGACATTTTCCTACTTTTTTTCGACATTTTGTTTTTTCGATATTTTCCTTTTCGGCGTTTTCCGTCAATCCCTAATGGAACAAACATTCCGCATTGATATTACTGATGTATTACCAAAAAAGAAGAGATCAAAATCAAATCAAAAAGCAATTTTATCAATAAAGCGGCGCGCATTACCACTCGTATCTGCTTATTCTATTACGACACATAAAAGTCAAGGCCAAACTTTAAATAATGTTGTAATTGATTTAAATCTACCAAATGAAACTGACGATATCGTCGCAATTTACATACCTTTACCACGTGTGAAATGTTTGGCTGATTTTATCATCCTGCGACATTTTGAGTACAAGGTTTTATTAATGAAACCAAGTAAATTTCAACTCGCCGAAATAGAAAGATTAGATAAATTATATTTGGAGACATAAAGTCGTTTTTCAGAGTGGTTTTAACTTTTTTTTCTTTATTGTACAAAGCTTTGTTTATAATTGTTATAGCTTACGCTTTTCATATATAGCTCATGTTAGAGTTTTCGCATCTTTATTGTTCACTTTTTATGATTTATTTCTTTTGTTTTTAAATATTTCTCAATGTATATTCTATTCGTATTGTAATTTGTGTTGCTCTATTATCATGCATTTCGTTTTTTTTTTCATTTTTTTGAATTGCATTTTTATAGAAAGATGTTTTTTAAATGTTTCTTTTTTTACTCATTTCTATATTCATTATTGCAAATAAATCAATTATACTTTTGTGCTGTTAATAAAATGAAGCTTTTAATTTAAAGATTCTTATAGCTATGACATGTGTGCACATTACCAATCTGTGTTGACATGGTTCGTCATATAATCACTTTAAAATACATCCTATTCATTATGTACTAGAAGATTATATTAATGAACGTTGACTTAGATATAAATGATGTAACTTTCATTATAAATTGTAGTTGAACAATCAGATTTATAGTAAAATTATATTACAAAACGATAAAACGGTATTTTGTACACTCTCAATTCAAGATGAAAAATTTAAGTCACAACTTAGATCGAATCGAGATCGATCCTATTACCATTAGTATATGAAAAAAATACTTCTACCCTACACAATCGAGGGTCAAGTGAGTCGAAGCGACGAACGTTACTTGTTTTTTCTGTTCTGTAAATGTCAATAAATTTCTGTACGTCTATCTAATACTAGCAGGTTATATGCGGTGAAAGAACAAATAAATAAACGGTACTGGTTTTTTCTTTATTCCCTGCTTTTTCTGTTTCTTTTTTGTAACTTTTTTTTTGTCATTTGTATACTTGTAAATTTTCTTTTAATTCTTCAGGACGTCGTCCGTTATCTTACTGTCTTGTGATATTAGGTGGTGGAAAAAATTCAACGGTAACAGTTTTTTGGTGCTGTTTTTATAGCGTTAAGCATATATCTTAAATGTAAACAGTGATTTTTATAGCGAATTGAGTTTTTTATTAATTAATTTTATACCTAGATTCCATAGATGAACCATGATAGTAAGACTTCTAAAAATATCCGGACATGCTAGTTTTCAGGTTCGATTCCACTTGGTCGTAGCTATTCTTAAGATGCCATTTTCAAGAGCACAGCATTCTAAACAAAATCAGGGTCGTCGTAATTTTCACAATCTTCTCTTAAAAAGTTTCAGCTACCAGCAAAGTCGTAAAACAACGAAATTTATCGAAAAATTTCCTAAAACAACTTTCGTTTGTTTTTGTGATGCTTTTAACTTGTTAAGGGATGGTGGTAATAGAAGTGGTGAGCCTCATTTTATTTAAAATGTCGTGTTCTTTAAAATGACATTGTTTTAACTTAGACCCGATCCTGTCTGGTAGAATCTGCAAACTGCCATTTCCGTTTCTTTTCAGAAATTTTGATATCATAGTCCATTTATAAAATCTGAGTTTAAAATGCATTAGATAGAAAACTTCCTTCGCTATTAAAATTACAATCTAGATTTGCACTAGATGCCTGACATTATTGAAAAACAATCAATGAAATGTTATTGTTAAACTCTTCTCCACTACCTTATGGAATTAAAACTTGTATACACAAAGTAATTTTGTTTTACCTTGTTCTTGTACAACATTTGATACAAAATGTATATTTTTGATTTTTGTTTTCTAAATAAATGAAAGAAAATAATTCTTCAAATACAAAGAAAATTTGATAGATTTTTACACGTATTTCCGAATTGATACTAGAAAGTACGAAAAAAGTTGAAGAAATATATAAAATTTGGCTACTATAGTTTAGAATATGAGATTCTTATTGAAAAGAATTCATGGAATAGTATTGAGCTATTCGACCTTGACAATCTTCAATTTTAAGTTCTGAACTTCAGGGCATGAAATCAATGTCAATCGAACATTTACTAATCAAAAGACAGTAGGAAATGAAAAGAGCAAAAGAAAAACAAATAACAATTAAATTATACAAAAATCAGTTCGATCGCATACGATATCTTTCGAGAGTGCTCTCGCACTACAAGCCAATTTAGGTGAAATATGGACTGCTGACTCCAGTTTGGTTCGCGTTGAGTTGGATAATGAGAATTGGTTGAAGCGAGAGCCGAACACCTAAGCAGTCAAATACGCTGATTGGTTATTTTACTTACAAAGACCTAGTATATTAAAAAGCCCATTCATTCTTTGAGATGTCGCCTCAATACTGTTAAAACTGTGGTACGAACCAGAACTGGCAAATCTTCTAGTAGATAAAAAAATTTTTAAATCTATTCTTTGAAAAATTACTAGAAAATCTGGTCATTTTTTATTGAGAAAAGTCACGTAAGAGATAAGTCGAGTTATCCAAAGATGATTAAATAAAACGTGCATACTTCCTTTTTTTTTATTATAAAATTACTTTTGCATCCAAAATTTTTGATCATTTGTAAAAATTTCTTAAAAAATGTCTACCATTTGATTTAAATTAAAAAAAAAATTATAGAACAGTGATCCTGATTCTAATTAGAAAAATTCCCTAATTTTTCTTTAGTGAGTATCATAAAACTTTAATCCTGTAGATTTTTATATTCGAGTTAATTATGAGTGAACTATGGACGATCATTTATTCGCTTGCTCAATATGCTTCCCAACGACTAATCAGCATCTTAAAGTCGCTTCAGTCTTCGGCTTCAATTCCTGTCAATTGTGATTACCCCGCGGAGTTTGGTTGCGCCGAGTTTGCTTTATTTCTGACGATCAATATGAGAGGAGAGTAATGTTAGCAGTGATTTACTCTCATCCTGTCCTTGATCACTTACTTTCTGTTTTTTTTTCTTGCCTTGATTGTTATCATTGATTCTTCTTTCTTCTCTTTTCTTTTCTTTTCTTTCTCTTATGGTGATGTTTATATATATGGATAACGATTTAATGACATTCTTTATTATAAAATAAACGAACCGTAGCTCGTTGGATACGAGCTAACAAAGTTATATTATATTACTACTTTACAACCTCTATCGCAATGCTTCTCAACTCAATGGTTAATAGAATTTATTTCAGCACTCTAGTCTTCGTTTTTATGATAATTACTATTATATTTATAATTAATCATTCTTTGAACGTATCATACCCAATACAATTTATGCGAAGTATATATGAGGTAATAAACACGTCACATACATATGATGATGCTGAAGGATGGATCTCATCATCGCTCTATAATGAACTCTACTCATACATTGCAGCTCGTGATAGTAATAATCGTCACATAAAAAACAGATTTAATATCAATAATGGAATGGTAACAAATCTCCCATTAAGTTATGATTACATTAACACTATAAAAAATGATAATAAAAAAAAGTATCCTTATTCATCGTGGAAATGCTCTAAAACATCAAATGCCGCCTCTGAACATGGTGATGAATATTGTATTTTAACAAATATTTATTATCAATCATCTACTAATCAATATTATTTTTTTCGAAATTCATCTGAAACAAATAAAGAAATGCGAAGAGATACATTTACGACTTCTTACGGTGATTTTAACTTAAATTTAACTGATAATATTACAATTATAAAAAGTCTCAATCTTTCAGCTATTTTGACACGATCAGTTTTAATTACTCACTCACCAGATCTGAATTATGCTCATGGTTTTCTTGAATCATGTGGTCCTCGTTTTTGGGTATTAGCTGAATGCCAATCACATCCATCTTATGTCGATCCAACTAAAATTCAGATCTATTATTCATCAAAAATGTTTGATCTTTTCCCAGGAAATTGGAATAATTATCTTCGACAATCTGATGGAACTTATCTACCAAAAACAACATGGGAACAAATGATTCAATCGATGTTTTCTATTTATCCGTTATTATTGCATACATCATTCAATGGTACAACAGTTATGTTTCAGCATATGCTAGTCACAGGCGGGAGCAGAACTCGAACTTCAGTTTGGGGTCATCACTACGACTCTAGACCAATGAAATCATATCCATTTCCAACAATCAATTATCGTCGAGCTTATTTAGCTTATTCTGAATGGATATTGAATAATTTCAAACTTAAATCAAAATTTCAATTAACATCAATTCAACAAGAATTACAACATAAAAAAATATCTGAACAAGTTCCTATTTGTGATCAAACATGTACTATTCAACAACAAATAAATCATTCATTCATCAAATGAATTTACTGGTGAATGGATTGTTGTTCTAAATCGTGTTGGTGTTGGTCGTCGTGAAATGGTGAATGCTGATGAATTAGTTGCTGCTTTGTTAAAAGCATTTCCTGATCATTCTAATCCATATTTACGAGTTTGGCCAAAACAATTTAATTTTAATGATAATCTCTATGAAACAGCACGTATGGCTCGATCAATACGTTTATTAATTGGTGTACATGGAGCAGGCTTATCAAATACTTTATTTATGAGACCAGGTGCAATTCTCTATGAAGTAAATCCATATGGTTGTCGTTATTTATCATTTAACTTTCATCGTTGGGCTGAAGTATTTAATCTTCAACATGCTTTATGGATTCCATCAGAAGGCAATGATGGAAGAAGAAATAACATGTGTCTTCGTGAATCATCGATAACATTAAATGTAAAAGAAATCATTGATGAAGTGAAAAGTTTACTGAAAGATGAAGCTGAATATCGAAGTGGTTATATAAGACGAGCATTAAAGATAATGACTGATATGTCAATCGTCGATCATCCACCATCAGGATTCGAAAACATTTTCTAGAGTTAATAGTTTTCCTTGTTTTAAATTTGTTTTCTTTATTTCATGTAGAACGTATTTAAGACAGTCCAACAGTAGTGGAGAATATATTTTGGTTTCTTGTGAAGAGCTTATGAAACTTTCTCTTTATATAGTCTGACAGTAAAAATAATGCTCTATCCTTCTTTGTATTTGATTATTCTTCAATGAATATCTTAATCATAAAATTTCAATGAAACTTATTTGGTTATGATTATGGTGGTTAAATTGGTTCACACTGCCTTTGATATGTATTCGCTTTTTCGCTTTCTCTTTGTTCTTCTTCTTTATTGTTTTTATTATGTTTTCTCGCTCATTTTAATGCCAAACCGTCGACACATATATACAGGGTGTCCCGAGAGTCATTGATAAAAAAAACTGTCCTTCTTTATTGTAATTCTATTGAATGAGCTGGTTTTGTAGTAATGGCCGAGAACACTTCAAAGTTTTTATTCATAAATATAAAGGTCTCAAATACTCAAAAAAAGTAGCACTTAAAAGTTTAATACGCAATAAAGTCGTTCATCAAGTTGCAAAAGAAAACGATATGTAGAGTATTTTTTGAATTTCTTCAATTTCATTTCATTATTGTAAGGTTTTAGTCATGCTGACTTACTTCTCTTGCTTCAGTAATATTTGTCGGACAGTTTTAACAAAACTAGAGACATTGGTCTTAAGTCTGGTGCCGATACAAAAGCTAAAACCGTGTTGATTTACTCAGTTTACGGCTCATCAAAGTCTTTGATTAGGAAAGAACAAATCGTTTTGATGAAATGCATCAATCACTCTGGATTTCTCAACTATCTTTAAAAGATATTTGTAAGACAAAAGAAATAGGTCTGAATGACTGAAGGCTTACACTAATGAAATAAAGTTGAAGAAATTCAAAAAATATCCTACATTTCGTTTTTTGCAACTCGATGAAGAACTTTATTGTGTATTAAACTTGGAAGTGCTACTTTCTATGAGTATTTGAGACCTTTATATTTATGAATAAACACTTTGAAGTGTTCTCGGCCATTACTACAAAAGCCAGCTCATTCAATAGAACTACAATAAAGAAGGACAGTTTTTTTTATCAATAACTTTTGGAACACCCTGTACATAAAGACATGTGTCCTTTTGGTTTTGCTTACATCTGTAGTTTATTAGCGTGTTCTCAAAAAAAGTTAGATTAACCGTTTGAGGCCCATAATATCAAAAAAGCTACACATGTTTTATAATTACTTTTCAGAACATAACTTAATAAAATTAGTACCTAATCTCTTGAAATGAAGCAATAAAGAATGCTTTAGAATCCTCCTCAACTATCTATAAGGGAGATATATATAGTCATTCATCGAGAAAGTTCTGATTGGTAACCGTAGTTCACGGAAAACAGGAGGCAGATCTATTCAGCTATATGACAGAAAGCAAAAACAAATTCAACAAGCGTTGGAGAATAAATCTCTATGAGTTCAATTATTACGTAAGTAAAGTTAGCACCAGATTCGCCTATTTCTTGTCCCGATTCGCTTTCTTACTTGTGTTACCTCTCTAGACACTTGTGTTAGGTGCAGAATTTTAAGCTCTATCGAACGGTACCGGTTTCAACCAGGGTCATTTGGGCAAAAACCCATCACTTTCCCCGAAATACTACCTTATTCCCTGTGTAATAACACCCGATATTATGTATTTCTTGTCCGGATTCGCTCTACGACTTGTGTTTGCTCTCTCATTGAGTGTGTTGGATGCAGAATTTAATTCTCTATCCGATGGTACTATTTCCAATAGGTGTCATCGGGCAAAAACTGGCGCTTATACCGCAAATACTTGGGTCCCAGAGAGGATCTTCGATATAAAGCTTTTCCTGATAATAATCTGATACTATTCAATTTTACGCTTGCGCTTAATTTTAATATTGTTCCATGTACATAACTACTGTTCTTGTTCTGGGTGTTGATATGTCATGCTGCTTACTGTAACTATCATGCATGCTTCTAATAAGCAAATTCATTAGAACTTAGCGCTCGTTATTTTTCTATTTTATTAACTTGCCTTTTTGCTATTAGTACTATTTCTCCAAATCAATACTTTAAACCGATATTGTTTCATAGAATGCTTGCACACAAATGTCACGACTAAAGTATGCTTTCTTTTCCCTTACTTCATCACAACTGTTCAATTTTCTTCGTTGAAAAAAATAACCATATCTCTACATTAACCAATTTGAATTTATATGTGATTTTGAAAGCTGAGCGAAATCTCAACTGTCTACTCTCATGAATAGTACACATCACCTACCAAGAGAAAGGCGAATGAAATACATCAATAATTTGCGAGAAGCTCACATACACAGGCAAAACTTCAAAAAAGTCTATCCGTATGCCACCAATATCATGCATATGGTGTATAGCTTCTAACCATAGGTACGCAGCATGAGGGAAGACGATTCTCCAAGCCCACTGTTAATAACACTAACATGCCCACCACAAGATCAATATATTATGAATGACCTAATCTCCGACATCGATGGACTACAAATAAACCTTTCCAAAATGAAAATTCCTATCAACCGATAACGAATATTCCTGTGCACAGCAACACTCATGAAAATTCAAAAAGCATTCACCATCAAAAAAACATTCCTTCATTACTTTCCCAAAATCTGAAAACCGAATACTCAAAAACCATTTGCCTTTACACAAAACATGACCATAGTGATAGCAAACCACCCAGAGCTACCCTCCAACACCATGCTGCTACCTTCAAGATATTGGACAAAACAGATATTTTTCCTTCGCTCTTACCCATAAAATTGTACCATTTCGAAGTGAGTAAACTTTCTCGTAACACACATTCCATAAAACACCGAAAACAGCATGCGCAGAAAAACTGTAGAAAGATCAAATTGAATCTGCTCTTAGACCAGTATTTCCGGGAAACCCCGTGATTTTTGGCCCATCACACAACCCGAAAACAGCGCCATCGAAAAGAGAATTAAATTCTGCATCCAACACACTCAATGAGAGAGCCAACACAAGTCGTAGAGCGAATCCGGACAAGAAATACATAATATCGGGTGTTGTTACACAGGGAATAAGGCAGTATTTCGGGGAAAGTGATGGGTTTTTGCCCGATGACCCTGCTTGAAACCGGTACCGTTCGATAGAGCTTAAAATTTTGCGCCTAACACAAGTGTCTAGAGAGGTAACACAGGTAAGAAAGCGAAACGGGACAAGAAATACGCGAATCTGGTGCTAACTTTACTTACTTGCTACATCTTTACATAATGCTTCATATTCCATAGCTAACGCTACGTTAATCCTGAATTCACCAGTTATCCATAAAATGTGTTTGTTTTGTTTTTATTCATTCAATAGAAAAATTTATAAATTCATTACACATACTGAATTACTCCTAAGCACACCAAGTATTCGATCTGTTCTTTCATTTAATAATATTTTAACAAAACTTTCAGCTTCATATATTATTATTGCTCAACTATTAGCTGCCATTGTAAATTTACCGATGCTATACTTAACGTCTTGTTTTAATTGTTCTTCAGATTTTTCGAAAAAAGATACATCCAGATGCGTAGATATAAAACTTAGTAAGCACATACAATCTATATATGATTCATGATCTGATACAATATTTCCAACACGAATAATTCCTTCATCTTCAGCTTAATGCTCTAACATAGGTCCTTGAATATGCTCACTGATAGTATAAGTACCTTTACATGTTCTTTGAAAATGTTTATCAATTTCAATTGATTCACATGGATCCAAATTTAACACCTTAAATTAAATCAAAATAAGAACTCAATACAGATTCAGTCTTAATCACTCACAGAATTTTCGAATATAATGTAATTAAAAACGAGAAAGATCAAGTTTGTAAAGTATTTGACGACCCTATTGACATTCCAGGTAATCAAACACATTCTCACCAATGAGACACAAGTGACTAAGAATATTCAATGACATGCATAATCTGCCTAATTTCGTTATGAAATATTCGTTAGATTTAAATCTATAGTACGATAGAGTTATTTGACTCTGAAATACGACGGTTTGAACAATGTTCCGTATGAATGACATGACACAGAACTGTACGGATTGGTGAAATAGCATCATTACTTCGAATGAATTATGAAGTGCGAGAGAGATTTGAAATCGAGAGAAGGAGTCTAGTTTCTGTGATCATGTGAATGAATTTAATAAAAGTACTAACACATAGATATGTAACAGACCTATTATCGACATCAAGATATAAGGTAGGTCAATGTTTTTTTAATAGCTTTTAACAGAAGCAGGATAGAGAGCTGCAAATTTCACTACCCCCCCCCCCCTCACATTAAAAGACCCCGGGGCCTTCTAATATATTTGAGCGTGAAAACTCTCTGGGGAATCTTCTAATGCGATTTTCATGAAAAAATTTTCAAAATCTTTGATAAAAATTATTTTACATTTTGTATTGATGTTTTCGCAAAAAATACATTTTTAAACGAGTGCTTATGATATTATATAATCATGAATCACCATGTGCTTATGCGACATTTCCCTTATGGGTGACTTGTTCTATGAAACACGACATAAAAGATCTGTTAAAGTATATACGGAAGAAATTTGAATCCATTGCCCCTGTAATCCCCCTAAACATCGTGACACGCACCCTAAAACATCATCGAAAACCATGCTAGACACAGAAGCTTTCCCCATATCTGCTACAGACTGTGGTAGACTTTGTTGACATACGTTCAAAGACCGAATAATAGTAACATTTTATCCGAATATATAAACTATTTCCTCTTTGCTATTCTAGAGGATTAAGCAAAGAATGATGAACCAATGTGTTCCAAAATAAATCGAATAAAACAGTTTTCATGTGAATATTAACAACTACTACATTGTTTTTCAAATTTGACTTCCGTAAAGATTTCGCTAGCAACTTTTTCTGGTATTATCGAAACAACATTTATCCGGTTAAATTTCTATGAC